CATCTCGTTTCCGCATTGTTAAAGCTTGCTCAGCTTTTCTTTGCTCGGGTTGGACGCGTGGTTAAGATCACTAAGATTGGAGCAGCGAATGTGGAGGGTTCAAAACTTACAACTAATTCAGAAATTATAGTAATAATCGGCAAGATGGGCGGGTGGTTATGAAACGGCTTCAGGATAATAAATCTTAAAACATGTAAATTCAAAAAAGGATCAAAATGCCAGTCAATTTCGGTAACATTGTTTTAGTTGATTTGATGATACCTGCAATCTTAGCTCTGCTTTGCATCCAACCCCCATATTAAAGTCACAAAAAACATTCATCCTTTGACAGCATGTCGAAATTGCCGCATAGGTGGCTCATGCCATGAGTGAAACTGACCACCACATGTCGAATGAATCGTCCACAAAAATGCGTACGCGCATTTTTGAGAATGACGGCGAGATCATAATTATTGGCGAGAATGACGAACTGGGCTGGAGGAGTCGTCACTCGTCTGAGTCCAGTGGGAGGAGCTCTGTAGTTCGAGCTAAGTCGTTCCCGGGGGATAATCGAAACTAGTCCGAAAATTTTAGGTGTTTGGCAAGGTTTTTTTTCACCATTATCTCATATCAATTATTAATAATGCTTGATATGAATTCGTACTGGTAAACAATTTCTTAGGAACGTTTTCCGATATTCTGTAATATCTGCCGATACTGGGGATGATGGTTAACTTTAAAGACGGCTATGTAGGGGTGCGTGGAAACGAGAGGGCGGACGAGACGGCAATCAGCACGGCAACGTCAAACACGGCGATCTTCAATTAAGAAGTCCTAAGCCGCGACTATTACCCCATAATCAGAGCGGACATCCGTAGGGCATGGCAAAATCAATGGCAAAATATTGAGGGAAATAAGCTGCGAGCTTTGAAAGACAGCGTACGAACCTGAAACTCGGCCTACCATAAATCGCGTCGAATGGAAGTGGCCCTGTATAGAATAAGGATCGGACACACACGCCTCACCCACAGATACCTTATGGAACATAGCCCATTGCAACGACGGTCTAGTCCCCCTGACAGTGATGCACGTGATAGCAAAGTGCCCAAACTACACCGCCAACTGAAGGAACTGCTTCCCTGATACTGTGTTATTGAACCCAGACGAAACCCTTGCCAGGATGCCAAAGGAGACTCCCGGAACTAATTTTAGAACGTACAGCATCAAGCAATACCTGACACAATGTAACCTGCTCCGAGAACTCTAAGCTTGCCCTGAGTACACCAACTGATACGGTTACCATGCGCGTACCAATCTCACGACCTAGCAGAATCCTCGCGACATCGTATTTTGACCGCTCAACTGAGCGATGGGAACCTACGAGCGGACAAACTGATTACAGCCTCCATTATCGTCCGAGTGGACAATACTTCAAGTCAGAAACACTCGGAAACGACGATGCTGTGTAAATGAGACTTTGACCTTAGGCGCGAAATAGATCAAGATTTACTGAAGCCCCAGAAATCTGCTACTACTATTAGTCTACTACTTAACTTGAAGAATGTTTCAGTAGTATACAGTATAACATACTGACAATATATTATACTTATTATACTTTGGTGCTGTTCTTAAAGACAGAAATAGTTTTATAACTCAGGGCCATATTTCCCTTAACCATAATAAGATATTTCAACGTCTATTGTATATTTTAATATGGTTATAGATAGGAAATTCGAATTTGTCCTTTATAAGATTGCGCGCTCAAATGAACACGTAAACAGACCTCTAATTTAATTGCTTCCAAAGTAATTTTTTAGCGTGTAATTTCCACAAATTCTGTTTGTTTTTGCCTCAAAACTCTACTGGGAGGCAATTTTTTGGCGAGCAAATCATTCAAAGAGGAAATTGAACAGCACGGACGAGGACTGAACAGCGACGTGGTCGGCACTAATTAGAACATTCGCTCACTATTGCAATCAGGAGCAACCGAGTCCATTGGAATCTATTAATAATCTCATAAAAACTAAATATTAAAGCCAAGATTATAAACAAGATAGCTAATTTTGTACTAAATATCACAATATTTTTTATTAGCCATCATTGATGAATTGTTTTCCTTTGTTGTTAACAATTTATTTATTTATTTTATTAATTTTTTATAGGGCGGCTTTTTCATAAAGTTTACCTCACCCGAATAAAAATCTTACTATGAAGCTCTGAAGTCTGCAGTTAAGAAATACAGTCAAATGATTCTAAAGAAATTACTTAGAGAATTGAACAAAGGACTCTTCTGTTTGAACTGAATTTTTAGTCTGACTTACGCCCAACTATTGCCTGGCTCGTTAGATAGAAAGCAGAACGGCTTTTGTTCCAGATTACCTTCAGACGACAAAGGGAGAAAGGATTTTATTTCCGATTTAAAGGAAGCAGTAAGCACAGATATATAAATAGGTGTATTGATGAAGGATCGAGGGACGGAAGGAGAGGAAGGGGACATTGAAGAATTAAACAAGGATGCACATCGGATCGCAATGAGTCAAGAAATTTCTGATAGATATTCAAGGGCCATTTGAGAAATTGCTGATGAAACTCCTATGACCTATCCTTGACTTACATACATGAACATAATCTTGTATAGCATTCGCCAGGGGTTGTAGGAGTAGGTTGCTGAAAAATATCACACGCGGGCGTGGCGAAAAATATGTATGTCTGATTTAAATTTAAAATTTCAGAACTGTATTCTTAGAAGTCGATCCTAATGTCACTAATAGAATAAGCATAGTAAATCCATTGACGAAAACGAACATGCTAATATACGTGATCCGTCTCCCATTCTGTTCTTTGACGAATTTAATGTACGGTGATCAAATCATTGTTCATTTGATGCGTCATAATGATACATCAAATGCGTTATTCCTCTTTAAGTTGGAAATGATGTGGCGCTCTACGACATTCCTCTGCTGGCTTGAGTGATTTTGGTGAACATGCGAGTCCTTGTATGACGGACGAAATAAGAATTAGGAAATGAGGGAACAGCCGGATTGTGAATTAGGATAGCAGACTTCAGTGTTGTCAAATGGGCCCTTTTCCGGCCAAATTTCGAGAAAATGGCCATTTCTAAAATGCATTTGCTTGACAAAAATTTTATTTGGCCGTTTTAGGTTTTTTTTATGGAGAATATGATACTCTCAATTTTTTATAAATTTTGTCCTCTCAAAACTTCGTTTTGCTCAAGATCCATACATTTAAATTTCGACACGTAACTGTGTCTAAACTTCCGTTGAGGAGGCAACACTGGTCGAGTGCCGCCAAATTTGGACTAGGTATACGTATAACATGGTTGAACCATGAGTTTATATCCAGTTCCCCACTGATATAGTAACCATGACGGCAGAGCTGAGAGTGCATATAGTTATCACTTTTCTGAATATTGCCCGATATTGGTAAATTCATTAGTAATTACTGTGGTTACAGAGCTGTTTCGTAATACATTAAGCCATTTGGCAATTGGCAAAGTGGTTAAAGTTGAGTATGATGATGTCGAAGTCGGCAAGGAAAAATATTTAGGAGTTAATACCGACAATGAGTTTAAATTTTCTAAGCATATTGAAGGTCAAGTTAATAAAGCCAATAAACGACTTGGACTGATCAGACGCTCTTTTGAGTTCCTAGATGCAGAAGCGATGAAGCAGTTTGTTGCTGTCGTGCGCCCGAACCTAGAATTTGGAAACGTAGTGTGGTCACTGAAACTTGAAAAGGACAAAAATTAATTAGAGAATGTTCAATAAAGGATTGACTTTCAATATTCACTTTAGTCCTGCAGTGACTACATTCTCTTTCTACCGCAGAAATGGGTTTGCATTAAATCAATTTTTATCTTATATATATAAATATTCTTCATTCAAAGCGACAACTTTCTAGCGCGATCGAAAATCTTCATGGTTGTTTGGTGGCAATCAAATACGAAAACTCGTGGTTCTGACCACTACTGTCTACCAGTATTAATACTTACGATCGGCAAGTAAACTGTAGAGTATAATTCGTGTATAATTCGCTGTAGGCAGGCGGCTGTGGTTTTGATGGTAATTTAGAATTCAGATGGTAAACATAGTGAAATTGGCATACCTAGCTAATTTCTATTTGCTGGAAGACTGAAGAGGAAATGTGCGCACTGTAAACGGTTTTAAATATCTTGAATATAGAAATTTATTATTAATGATAGACTAGGCCGTTTTGGCCTTTTTTGTGAGCCAAATTGCCTTTTCTCTTGGCTCCATCTGGCAACCCTGGTAGACTGGCATACTAGTTCAACCATGGACTGGCAGCAGAACTTGACAAGTTGACAGCCGACGCCGTCCGCTCTCTGCTGTGGCTGTAGATCCTAGGGTGCGTGTCTGACTGTTGCCGGCGGTCGGTTGCGACGGTTGGTGGCCAAGCCGATATCCTATTCCTAATAAAGTCGCTTGTCGGGCTATACGTCTATAAGTGGCCAGTAAGTTTAAACTTCACGTTATCATATTGCTATTCGTGGTTGAGACTTTAGTACATTCACTCACTTCACTACGTTGGACGGTTGGAAACTTGGAGTCTTGGAGGTTCGTAGTTGCGAGTTGGCTATGACCTAGGTATGAACTTTAGATTGAGAAGATAGATGAACTTGATGAAGTGTTTTAAGACAACTTCAGAGTTGATCCAAATTATAAATATTAATATGATATAGCAAAGGCCCCTGCCCCCTGCCCCTGGCAAAGGCGGCCATAGGCCAGCGCTGCGGAGCCGGTATGGAAAATTGGGCAAAAACCACCCGTGGCCGAGCAAAAATCACCCGTGCACGTGGTAAACCTTCACCCGTGCACGTGAGACGGTGAGACAATCTCACCCGTATTTTTAGCCTTTCCACCCGCACCCGTAGGGCCGTAGCGCACGCGGTTTACGAGGATTTCACCCGTAACGACCATAAGCGAAGTATGCCACAAGAAATAACTCATTAAACGCAAGCCAGCTTAGCCAGGCAATAATCTATTCATCTAGGGTACAAATGCAAGCTGAGTATAAATTTTGTCACAACATGGCAATATTACTGATCTTTTCTACTAATTATCACCAGTTCAATAATTTCAACGTATCATGTTGATTAAACATTTTTAAATTGCGAAGATATTATTTGAGCAAAAATTGAAATTAAGTCCTTTTCCAAATTAAAGAATGCTGTAGGGAAAAATTAGTCGTAAGACACATGTTTGAAAATTTTCGCTAAAATTAACGCCATGCCATTTATTTCAAACAATTACTAAGGTATTCAAGTCTTAAACAAAATCAGTGAGGTCTTCTTGATCCAGAAACAACGGATAATTCACCGGTTTCTGCGTGTGACGCTTTATCACCTTGCTAACGTCACTGTATTTTCCTCGATTCCTGACATCCGAGTGATGTACACTCCTATGTGGTAGCAAGTTCAACTTGCTATGGCCTTTTAAATAGAGTTTTGCCACAGACTTAATAGTTGATGGGCATCTAGCGGGAATTGGCATAAGCCAATCGACAATGGCTCTCTCGACCATATTTTTATTTTCCATCGGTCCTTGAAATAAATGTCGCTTGATGACGGAGTAAAACCCCTCCACTATTGCCTCGCAGCCGCCCATTGCCACGGCGACGTCTAGTGCGGTTGCTGCTTCAATTCCAAGCTCCGTGTAGACCTGGAAGAAATGAACGCTAACTGAAGAGGAATTCATTGTACTACTGGTTATGCTACTCACAAATGAATATTATACTTGACTATTCAATGTTTAGTGCCCGATTCATGTCATTATTAAACCTTTGCTTTCGTGAGATCAAGAATACAATATGTTTACGAATCTCTATGCTCCGGAATTTATCGTTAACGCGCAAAGAAAATTCGTATGACGTGCAATAATATTTATATAACTGAAGTCCTTTGAATCGAATTGACTTGAATTATTTCTCCTACTGAAACAAATTTTAATCTACATTTACATCCAATCTCCGTTTAACAATACGTATCGATTTTATTAATACAAATAAAATGTTAAATATAGTGAATCCATCGACATATCATATCGACAACGAGCTGTGAATGTTCTATAAACGAACCAATATATTAAAAAATTTCATTAATTACCTCTTCCTCAGTGTAGATAGCCGAGATAAAGGCACCTTCATCGAATGCGCTTTTGGTTTCGCTACGGTCAGAGAAGCGGAAGCGGAAGATCGGTGCTTGCAGAGTTGTCTGGTCATGCTCGTGAAAGCTGAATTCCACGAGCCTTGCCGTGGTGGTCGGCAAGTCTGTAAAGACTTTGCGACGCAGAGAGTTTGTGTTCCACACCATGTCATACAACAAATCTGTATATTTGCTGAATACTTCGTCAGCCATATCCTCGTCAAAAAGGAGCCCATCTTTTTTTTGCCGTGATGAAATCTGTGAGAAAAAATTTTTTTCAATATATTCATTCAGCGAAATTCTTCCCAAGTATTACACCGGAAAATAAGTCTGGATATAGTTGATCTAAATTGCTATGGCCCCTAATGTTGCTAAAAAAACTTACGTGAGGTAGTTCGCAAACATAAGCGTAAAACGCTCTGAAAGCTTCTCGACCATCGGTCTTGAATCTATTCTGCTGTTGACCTCCACCTCCCATTATGGGCCTCTTGGTGGGACCAGATCTCGATCCACACAGCCTCTTGATTATGGGAATAGGAGCGATGCAAGCAGCCAAGGTAGAAGCCATGCCATTTATGCCACTCTTATGCCTGAAGATATAAATAAATTATTCAGAAAAACAGACAATTGCCTATCGATTCCTCTGATGATGTATCAGGAATTCCCTTTTTTTCTTTACTCCCATCAAATTAGTTTCAATAAGCTGGCGACAATGAGAACTTTGATAAAGTTGTTACAAGAATAATTTTAAAAAGTTGTTATTGCGATAAACCAAGGAATTTTTAGTGCATCAGTGAAACCAACCTGATTTCGATGTTTGCAATTAGATTCGTAGTTAGAGTACATAATTCCTTGGCAATTTCTTTAAATTCTAGCATTTTCCAGTCAATTCCATTTTTGCTTCCCTCTTCCTTATCGACGACGAGCCAACCCTCAACCAGCGGCATAGAATGAAAGGTTCCATGTTTATTTTCTTTAGTAGATGACAGGAGTTCCTTCGTATGAGCTGTAGTGATGGGAAAGCGGGCGATAGGAAGGAGACGAAGATCTTCTTTGCGTTTAAGCTTTCGTAGATCGTTCTCCATCGTTTTCAGTAATTGGATTAAATCTTCTATCCACGCTGTGATGCTCCAAATTTGTTGGCCGACCCGTTGACTCAGCACCATCACCGAGACGATAGGTTGAAAGATGTCCAACATTAGACACAGCTCTAGCGCGAAATCCCAACCCCTGATCTGCAACATAAATTTTTTAAATATCCAAAGCAGATATTCAACCACGAACTTTAGTATTATATGCATAATAAATGGCTGAAACTAATGTGAATTTTGTATTTACCTTGAATTTCATTTCATCTGTATCACTTTCAGTCTCCCGATTCTCTTCATAAGTCAAAATCAGGGCCTTATAGCTGCTGTAAAGCCCCTTCAAGGAGTCGAAAGCAGAGCTTGAAAACCTGTTTTTTAAGAATTTATAATTAATTTGTGTTATGTATTCAATCCTGTCGAATCAAGTGTTTAAGGCTAGTGGTACAATAGTCAGCAGCAACATAACACCCAAAAACCTTTCATTCATTCATTGCAATAACCGAGTTGTGGCCAAAGAATATTTTCAAATCTTGACGAACCTTGTCACTGAGTATCCAGACAAACGAACTCCCTGCGCATTCGTCTTTTCCTTCACGGCTTTATACTCATCATAGCCACGCCCTGAATGAAACATGTCATTGAAGGAGTTCGCTCTATCCAGGAACTTTTTAAAGAACTTGGAAGATGAAGACTTGTCTTTCGTCGTTTTGATGCACAAATCAAGCCAATGGGCGCCGTCCCAAATAACTGGAAATTCTAGTCCTTGGGCGCGACCTTCTCTTGTGCTCGTTTGGCAGTGCTTCGAGAGTTCGGCTTGGAAACCAACTGATTGGTATTGGCCGTCTGAATGATTTGCTGAAAGCAAATGATAAATTGAGTATCATGGAAGTGCTGTCTTGAATGGAAGTAATAAGTGTTATGCGAACGATAAGCATGTAATATTGCTCAAAGTTTTAAATATTTGTAAATATTTGTAAAGCATGAACAAATAACTTTGTTAAAAACATCCATATCAGAACAAACAAACTCAATCGACAATTCTACGGACCCGCCAGCGGACTCGCCTGCGGACTCGCGCAACTGGGACACTCATAATTCCTTAAATACTTAACGGATCTGTATGAATTTTGGAATGTGAGTATTAATTATCGATACGCTGACGCAGGAATTATTACAGATTTATAAATGAATTATTTTTTAATTAAAACCAATAAACGTATTTTTTAAGCAACTGGGGCACTGATAATTCCTTCAATACTTAACGGATCTGCATGAATTTTGGAATGTGAGTATTAATTATCGATACGCTGCCGCAGGAATTATTACAGATTTTTACAGGACTTATTATTAGGTTAGGTAAGGTTAGGTTTGGTTAGGTTAAGTTAGGTTAGGTTAGGAAATAATTCATGCAAAAATCTGTATTCATGCTAGGAAATAATTCATGCAAAAATCAGTTGCGCGAGTCCGCAGGCGAGTCCGTAGAATTGTCGATCGAGTAACAAACAAACGAAAATATAAATCTGCTTGCTAGAATGTTTTAAAAACGCGAAAGCAACAAAATACTTGCTACGATGACTGGAGTACTTTTAATGCTCACCAATCAAATAGCTCAAGTTCTCTGGTTCGACGAGAGAAAACTCGACGATAGTATCAATCACTTGGGCTGCCAGCTCCTCTGCAGTGCCACCAACTACGCGACCCTCTTCATTAGAGTACACTTTTGGTGCACCTATTGGATAGGCTTGTCGTACTCCTTTATACGGGGCCAGAAGCATAATAGCGTGGTTTGTCTCGCGCCCTGGCGTGCTCTTGTCGCACGCCACAGCGTAGTGGGGGAAAAAGGAAGTGGACGGAAGTGGTGTAGTGAGGTATCTCTTCAGCTTCAGCCGGCAGTGACCAATTAAAGCGTCCGTGAATCCTTCCATCTGCTTGCTGTAAAATCAATCGATTTGGAAACCTATGTCATTGCAATAAATGAATAATTAGGTACAGTAAATATATCATAAAATTTGCTCGTCACGGTTTTAAACTATTTCTTTCCTATTTTCTTCACGAATGCCCACGACCATTATTATGTATCCTTACCGAGAATGGCCCAGAGTGCCTACGTCTACTTTAGCATCGTCGAGCATCACGACTTCAGTCTCGAAGTGCTCCGCCGCGGCGCCCATCTTGATTGTTGTGAGGGCAGCTTTGACCAGGTTCTGCAATGCGTCCACGTGTTTCTCCTCAGTTTCCATTTCTCTCTTTTTCAGTTTGTGAGCGTCTAGATGCGCATGGCCAGAAGTGCTCATACCGGTGAGGTGACTCCCAATTTCTTTCTTGAGTTCGGAGAAACGTTTTGGGTTTTTTGTTTTATTTAGCCCATTAGCAGCAACGAGGTTTTCATTTTTCTCCAAGAATCCCTCGCAGAACTTGATAGATGACAGCATTCTGGAACGCAACGCAACACGATGAATATGAAGGAAAGACTGTATTCTAGGAATACAAACAAAAGTTAGTATTCATATAATTTATAAACGTACATCTGCATTTATTGAAAGCTATTGCATTTCATTGCATGCATATACCTACTTTTTCCCATGTTTAGATGGGCCTTCAAGACCAAAAGCCTCCCGACACAGAGAACAGTAAATTCTTGTTTCCTCTCCCATTTCAAGCGGCTCCAAAACAATCGAAGTACAAGCAGCTACAGCTGCGATGGATGTTGCCTCGTGGAAACGTTGAGTGGTTGCAGCATCCATCAGGTAACTTGAGGTTTCAAGCTTCTGGAACATGATTATTCGTATTATTAATATCAAATTTAGTCAATTTTGGGCAATTTGCTTATTCGTTATAACATTGCAAACAGAATTGTAACGTGTACTTTAATTAACACACCTTCGACGGATGTTGCATTGAGATTTGGTCAATCTTTGCTTCCAAATTGCGTAAAGTCGTCAATATTTCTGCCAAAGTGTTGGTAGTCGGAGCTTCGGTATTTTTTTTCTTGAGTACGTAATCTTCAAGGGTTACTGGCTGAGCTGCACGCAGACGCGGCATTATTTCGCCGGAAGAAGGCGTTGGAGATATGGGCCGTGCAGTATCTAAAGAAGATGGCATCTCCATGACGTCAGCTGTAAATGATAGGTTAATAAGAGTCGCTGCATATACAAATTTCAGTGAAGCAAATGGAAAGCAATTGAAATCTCAACAATATTAAATATAATAATCAATTGCTTGACACAAATTGACTAGACTTAACTAGATGCCACTTTATAAGCTTAACCGAGTTGTTGCCTTTATGCCTTTATGATTTAGTTGCATACTCATTGCGCCGTCTTCAAATGTGAGTATTGTAGGTGATGGTGAAGGAGCAGCAGCAGGCGACGGCTGATGTGCGGGAACTGAGGGCAGCGGCTTGTCGCAATCTGAAGGCGGCTTGTCGCAATCTGAAGGTGGCTTGTCGCAATCTGAAGGCGGCTTGTCGCAATCTGAAGGCGGCTTGTCGCAATCTGAAGGCGGCTTCTCGCAATCTGAAGGCGGCTTGTCGCCATCTGAATAAATAGTTAATGAGAAGTTAATTGCTTATTCAATCTAACAAACGGCACTCAAAGATAATGCTTTGTCATCAATCACACAATAATTTAATTTGGCAGTAGGAAATTATCAACAAGCGTAGGTAGTTTTGAAGAAGGACATGGAACTTACTTTGATGCGTGGATTTGGTTCCAAGATGATTTTTCCTTTTTGTGTCATGTTTAAATGGCCTGGTATTCATAGGCGAATCTATGTGGACGATGTCTTTACTTGCATTATAGCCAGTGTCATACTTATGTTTCTCCTTGCCGTGCCTTTCAAGGTAATATTTATTTGTACGTTTAAATTTGAGACCACACTTTAAACAGATGAGTTGTGGAGATTCGACTTTCAATGATTTTTTCTTTTTAGTGGGAATATTTTCAGGTATATCTTCATCACTGTCAGGCCGCGTTCGTTTGAAGAAGCTCAGCAAAGTTGTCCTTGATACCTATAATTAATCAAAATTGCATTTTTTAAAGCCACTGAACTCAATAATTTATACATAGGTCCTAATTGTGTATTAAAGCACTGTGAATAAATTATTATTATTCATAATGATTAATAATTTTGATAATAATGACAATAATAATAATAAATTTACTAATACTTTCAATACTAAATTTAATAATAACTTCAATAAAAGTTGTAGAAGAATTATATTAATAAATAAAATTTAAACATATGTGAATAATTATTTTAAGAATGGTTTAATTAAATATTTAAAATAATGCCAATACTAATTGTACCCATAATTTTATAAATAATTTTATTAATAATTTAAATTCTTCAATAATAATTTATATAATAATTACAATATTATTTTGAACATTTTTTTTTCTTTATTCACATAGGAGTACACTGCACGTTAAAAATGAAGAAAATGATAGGAGAAGTGACAAAAGATTTCATAGTGAATGCCAAGCCAAACAGCTTCGCGATCGGCAATTGGTCCAGGCGAAAAAGGTTGTACATGACTGTATTAAATAATAACGAGATAATGACAAGAAAGGAAAAATCGTAATGTCAACAAAAAATTCATACTACTATACTAGCTACCCAAAAATAACTTCAGAAGAATAATATATAAATAAATAATAAATAACTTGAGAAATATCTTCAGACGATCAAGCCCAGAAACCAAAACTAAATAATATACCAATAATAAGATAAGTGAATAAAACCAAGCCCAGATACCAAAAAATTGAAACTGGATTCGGAGTAAGAACTTCGATATACGATCACACGCGTCATCGTAGCCTTTCCCTANGCCCACCTCTGCGGCAAATATCTATCCTTGACTTGAAAAATATATTGCCATAAAAAATTCATCCTTGACATGAAAAAATGTCTCCTTGACTAGACAAAATATATTTACTTGACCCAAATAACTTCGTTTCTGTTTCGTAATAATGTAATAATAATGATTTTAATAATTAATTATTAAATAATAATAATTAATGTCAATAATAATGTTAATAATAATTTAATTATTAAAATTTATTATAATTTCAAAAATATTTTCTAGAAAAATTTTATAATAATGTCGATAGTAATTTTAATAATAATTTCAAAAACAATTTTAATAACAATTTCATATATAGCTTTAATAATAAAATTTAAAACTGCATTATACCTTCCCAGAGGAGTGACCAGATGTGCTGGGACCATTGAATTTCGATGAAGGCGACTGTCCAAAAGTTTCATTGTGATGATCCTCGTCTACTTCTGTTCCGGTTTCGTCACTTTCACTAGCACCATTGCCACCTTCACAAGCCATGCCTGAGGCTGATTCCCTGCAAGCTGCGACTGGTTCGCGGTACAGTGACCGAAGTTTATGTAGCCTCTAACAAATGTGTGTCGTCACGACTGTGCGACGTCACAGTTCTACACGATTTATGGCAGCATGCATTTATGGCAGCACCATTCATTTTTTCATTTTATTCTATTCCCATTTACTCTTATTTATAGGAATTCATATTATTAGTTATTATTTATTGAATACTTATATTGTTATTTATTATTTGTATAGCCCCTAAAAAAGATTACGTCACTGTTCCTTACTCTATGCCTGGGTGTGAAGTCACTCCCTCCCCGGCTAGAATGTCCTTGCAGTCGACCGCAGTATCCTGTACTCACTGTAACCCTATTGAAAATCTCAAGCTGGTCATCGAAGGGAAACCAACTCGTATTTCCCCACGCTTGAGGTGAAGCTTTCCCATTGATTTAAATTACTTGAGGTAGCCCATGCAGATGTGTAACATTCTTACGCCATATCGACAATTTGAACTTCTAGTTATCACGTGATAACCTTGAATTTCACTTCCAGTACGCTTTAGGACAAATGTCGTATTAAAAAAAATGCAAAGATATATGACCATTATTAAGCATTAATTACGAAAAATTCAATGCATGTATTTATTTACGTTTACTTTCTTGTTAATAACTAGTTTTATGTGGTTCACAAATAGTTTGCTTCACCACGGAGTGCCTAAATTTATTTCAGAACGCATTTGGCCTTGGCTGCGCAACTACATTTGATTTTATGTTTTACGTATTCTACAGATTTTTTATGACTACACTTCTGGCTGTACGCAAACCCAGGTTCGCAGGTTCATGACAGATTATACTAGCATCAATTGAATATTTGTCTTGTACAGACATGAATTTGAACAGCAGTTAATCGTACTCTTTAAGCTTCGCGTTTGTAGTAAAGCATATTTATCTGTAGAAAGAAGTTAGCAAGCCTTACAGATTTCGGGTGCGCCATCGCTCTTAACAATGGCTTGATTGTCGAGACCCACAAGCTCTGCGGCACAAGCTTTCGCAGTGCCATGAGGTACCTTGAAGGTTTCCCTCCACTCGAGCATAGAAAGCTCGGCGAGTTATCGGAGTTTGTTATTGAAGCTTTACGTAAACACTTCGGCGCCTCTGCCGTGGGCGATGTACATGTACGAATGATCGGGAATAGGCTATATAAAGTAATCGGAAATAAGTTATTTAAAGTTAGGCGAAGTAAGAACAGATGTGGAGGAATGATATGCATTAAGACGAGAGAGCAAGTGAAGATGAATCACTGAACATATGATGAACGTATAAGGAAGATATGCAAATGAATAGTAAGAAGAGAGAGAGAGAGTGAAAGAGAAAAGAAAGAAGGAAAGAGAGCATTTGTGTTTGCATTCATTTGTCCATCTAAACGAGAGAATGCGATTCTTGCTTTTGTTATTATTACAGTGAGTGAAGAATTTTGTTTTCAAAGCTATAGTTACCACCGCTCACAGCATCGTAGTTCNTGGCGGGTAATAAAATGGCGCCAAGTAATAATCCTTTTTTCAAGTCATCAAGGGTTACTAATGCTGCATGTTGTAAACAATACATCATTATACGATCAATTACTTAGAAGTTGGTTGAGGCACGATGAATCGCCGCTTGACTATCGTGTCGGTCCGCCATCAGTTGGTCCAGCTGAAGCATGGTTGAACCATACAGCTGAAGCGGCTGTTAAGCCGTGTGCCACATCTCTACTAACAACATGCCACATCTAACGTGCAACGCTTCTACGGAAACAGTGAAATACTTTCCCTATTTCTTCTAACTCGTATTGAGGATGTCACCATGCACCCCATTACACATTATTATGTTACACGAACATTTTGTTTAATAAATATTTATAACGATTGTAAATTTTCAAACAGTTAGGCATTGCCTCTAGTAGAAACTGAGGCACTCACGCTGTCAGGCATACATGGTTTGCGGCAATACCAGCATCTGAGTCATCGCTAATTTTTTTTTCTAAATTTGGAAAAATCTTGATCATGTAACGTACCCTGCTGAAGTGACAATAATACTGAACAGCATTGTTTAGAAAAATTAATGCTTAAGCTGTACTCCTATAAAGGCGATCTATGAAAAATTTAAACGTTGTGTAAGTTTGTCATCTACCTGCCGTGGATGACAAACATTAACGTTCAATGTCAATGCCAGGGCAGATGCCGAACCAAATCCATGACCTGACATTAAATATTCATATATCCCACCCACCTGATGGACAAGAATGTGCCTTGTACATTACAAAGTAATACGTAAATTAAGAATATTCAAATATTCAGTCAACTATGCATCATCGCAGCAAACAGACAGCTATGCTTATTGAACTGACACCCTATGAGATCTTAGTTACTGAAGAGTAGAAATTAAACAGGTTCTGTGTAAGCTGTGTAATAAAATTATCTCACACCCATCCTAATTCAGAAGATAGATCTGTGAACTAATGTGTCTGTGCAACGAATAGGGATTCTTTGACAAATGATACTGGATTTTGAATATCACGGAATCTTGTATTAAACTCGATATAATTTGATCTAATGAACTAATTTTTTTTGATCACTTATAAAATAGATTTATTACGCGAGAACCTTGTGAAAACGCTTCGTGCATGGTTAAGATTGTGAAGATAGGAAAGGTAATCAAGTATTTTATATGTATTACAAAGCTGTCCATTACTTTGATGTATGCACATTGCACACCGACGCCAAGTGAACGCGGAAGACGTCACATAGCACTGCGTGACCCCTGGGCAGGCTGGGCCGCCTTCCCGCGCTTTTCGTATCCAATCCAATGACAACCCTCAAATTATCGAATGAAACATCTGTTCATGAAACGTCATGAAACAATAAGATTTTATAAGAAAACTTGAGCTTAAGCAACTAGTTCCCAGAGGAAAAAATCATAAGGTATTAAATCAGGTGATCTAGGGCTCCCTGAGGTGAATAGCTCACTGTGGCGAATCATGGATGAATAGCTCCCAGGGGTGAATGACGGGTGAAAAGCTCCCTGGGGTGAATCACGGGTGAGAAGCTGCCTGGGGTGAATCACGGGTGAAAAGCTCCCCGGGGTGAATGACAAGTGTAAAGCTCCCTGGGGTTACTAGCTCACTGGGGTGAATCATGGGTGAATAGCTCCCAGGGGTGAATGACGGGTGAAAATCTCCCTGGGGTGAATCACGGGTGAATAGCTCCCTGGGTATCGAGATTTATCAAGGATAAAAAAAAACAGCAAAAAGAAAACATGTAAAGACAACGTAATGATTACCTATGCAAAATGATCTTGCTAAAACTTTGCGCAAGCACGATTTTAGCACATGTCACTGAAATTTCCATCAAACGCTTATGGCTACATCGATCTGTCTGATTTTTGGTGGAGAGATGGAGAAAAACAGAGAACAAATCCTGACCTTCCAACTTTTTTTAACTATAATACTTTATGAGTTACAGCCGTTTAAAGTTGAATATTGTTTTTTTATGGAACACACGGTATTACGTAGGAGTGATATTAATAACACGGGACATCATATTATTAAGAATATGAGGAATACATGGACACTTGAGCAAGTACGATGCATGCGGCCCAGCAAAGTGAAGGGTGAGCTCAGATTCCAACATTAAACAATAGTAATAGAATAGAAGTGTCGGCACTGAAGAAAAAAGCCAAGGTATCATATTTTTAATCTATTTGACTACATAGCTAATTTCTTAAGTAATTCACAGTAACGACCCGACGACCAGTGCTTTCAACTTGTTGTCTGTAGAACCTTCCTACTAATGTATAGCATATACATGTGCTTGCTGCCGATTCTATTCTGTCCGCCGAAAACATAACAATGTGTTGATGCCGCACAACGAACTCTTCCTTTTAGCCATTGAGAGACCTCCATCTCCGTGCTGGGTTAGAGCTGCAAAAAAGCACCATAAATATTGTTAAAATGCATTAGTGTTGAGGTAGAGAAGTGTTCAGCGATAAATTATAACAATTGAGTTACTGACGATTATAAATTCATGTCTATAACAGTATGATTATGTTTTCAGTGAACTTTTATCGTTGGCGCGATATGTTGCGAGACTGTACTCTGAGTGTAGGCAGCAGCTTTTCACGCGCGATTTCTGGAAATTGCCCGTGAAAAGTCAATTTTCACCTGCGGTTTTATAAAACCGCCTGGAAGACGATAAATTTCACCCGCGGTTTTCGAAAATCGCTATTGAAGAGCCCATTTTTACCCGCGGTTTTCGGAAAAATCTGCCCAGTATTCCATACCGGCATTTCTGCAAGACTGGGTACTCATAGGGTAAATGCAGTATATTCCAAATTTGACACTTTAAGCCAGGACATAGCAAATAAATGAATGGCTATAAAAAATACACTGTATGCTCAACTCGAGTTCCGTTTGCTTTACGTCACTCTCAAAACGCCACACTACGCGCCAGCAACTATGAAACGTCACAAAATGTGGCCATGTTTATTTAAAAGCCTTCAGAATGCAAACATACGGCAAATCCATATATTCCAACGCGACACTGTGTGTGACTATATTTGGCATTTTGTGAGACTAATTCCGGCCGCGCTTCAAACTCTACTAATTCGTAATGCCATCACTCTTGAGTTTGAATTCCGATCGCTGTGTGAGCTGTATTGGAATATGACACAGCTTGGAATTAGAACACTATTGAATATTGAACACTACTTAATTAGGCTTTTAATTAGGAGCTATTAAGCTTTTAATTAAGAAAATTTTAATTTTTGTACACAACTTGGAACAAGCTGTGTGTGTCTAATTCCAAGCTGTGTCAGAATTAGTTTTTATGTGTCTAAAACTGTCTCTTAACTTAATCAGCTATTAATTTTTTTACCACTTGAAATCAGCAAATACAAGTATACTTAAAGGAATCCTAATATATTCACAGACCGGACAGACGTATTTAAAAGTCTCAAACCATAATATTATTTCTACACAAACAGTTTATCACTATTTGGTAGAGCAAGGTCAACTATCAACTTTGAGACATTTTTCAATGTTTTCACTGGGTAACGCGCATCGTCTCA